CCACCAGGGCAGGTGAACTCTGGAGCAGTGTTCTCCCGTTTCTTGCAAGAAACCTCAGTGACTGCCCAGGAACCTATGCCCCTCCCCCAGGCATAGGCTCCAGTGCCCGCAGCAGGAACTGGCCTTCCAGGACCTGTCCTAAAACCAGCCAGGGGCTCTGAGTGGACAGCATGAAGAGGAGCCAGGAAGCAGGGGAGACCGGGTGTGTGTGGCTGAGGTGGGAGCTGGCACCACGAGGTTTGGGTAAGCCAGTGAGGCTGTGTAAGAGACATTAACACAAAGACATCATGAGGGGGAGACGAAAGCATTTTTGGAACATTCTTTCTAAAAGTACAGAAGTAAGATAAAGACTATTAAGAGCCGACTCTACGGACTGCAGTAACCCAGCTCCAAGCACTGGGCAGGGCGGGTGTTCCAGTCATCATCTTCCTTAACGCTCACAAGGCCGCCATGACAGAGTGGCACATTAACCTGCCCCGAGCCACACAGTCAATTAAGTTGTGGGCGGAGTCGGTCAGGGCCAGAGTACCAGCAGGGTTGCTGCATCCCACCCAATGCCCACATCCCACCAATTCTAGACTGGAATGTTCTGGGTGCTCTGTAGTGTGGGGACAGATGGCAATTAAGACCCGGTGAGAGCACTGGTGCTCAGAGGCCTGCTGGCACCCAGGCCACACAGACCCCCTCCCTGGTGCCAAGCAACCAGCTCCTTTAGAGGACTTGGAAGACTGCTGGCCCAGGGACTGCTGACCTGGAAAGTTCCCGGAAAGGAGCCGGGCGCACCGCTCACAGGTGAAAGCAGCCACTGACAACCTGGCCACAGTTGGCATCTCTGTTCCCCTACAAGTCTATTGGCAAAATCAGTATTCTGACCGCTGCTTCAACTAACAGCAGTCACTGCTGCTGGAGGAGAGGAACTGAAGGATACGTGTTCTCGGGGCAGAAAGAGGAACTGCTGTGAGGCTGACACCACTTCCTCCCGCTTCCCTCAGATGACTGAGGGTGGGACAGCTGATGGCCTGGGGGCCGGTGCCCAGAAGCAAGCTCTTCTCACTCCTTTTTAGGACTTTCCAGCACTGACTCTAGGGCTGGCTCAGGTCAGAGGAGCCTTCCGGTTAGGCACCTTGTGAAGAGGTGACCACTCCTCTGGGAGCAAGCACCTGCTGGACTAGGGGAGGAGGAGGACTGCTCCCAGGACACAGGGCCCATTCCCTCAGGTCCTGAGCCAACCTCGAGGCGTGGTCAGGGCTAAGAACGGACCCAGAGCCCCATCCTCCAGCAGAGTGTGAACTGACACGCACCAGTGTCTCAGGACGCCCACTCGTGGCCTCAGACAGGCTGGCGCACAGCTCTTGTCAGGATGGGAGACACGCGTAAGAATTCGGCCAGTTAGCCCTTCACCTCTGATCTAGTTACACTAAACATAATCTACCATTTCCACTCAGAATAATCCCCACTTCTCTTGCCAAGTGGCTTAAAATATCATATTTCCACCCACAGCCCCATCACTTAGCCCCATCTATAAAATTCCTTTCACTATCTTTCCAATCCTGACTCTTGCCAACACCAAGTACACCTGGAATGAGCCCAAGCAAAGAACTGAAAAGGGCAAGTCATCAGAAGCACCATGACAGCCCCTCCCCTCAAAGACCCATCTGCCGCCACAGAATCTGCAACCCCAAAGCCAGGACAACGGCCCTGTCAGAGGACCAAAGCCAATGGGCAACCCACAGTTTTCTCCCAGACGGGCTCAGCTGCAGAGACCAAATCCCCTCAAATCTTACTTCATCTGAGTGGTTTACCCATCAACAAGTAGTCGTATTTCCTGTTGCCCTTAAACTCCTAAAGTATCTCCACACTGAAACGGCTGATTCAGCTCTAAACAAGGTCTAACCTGTTCATTAATACCTATGGGCCAGGTATCTGGAATACAAAGAGACACAGCCAAAGTGAATCACACAGCAAGTATTTACAAAGCACTTCCGGGAAGGAGTATTACACCTGGCCAGCCCCTAAGGGAACCTGGAAGAGAACAATGACCCAGGACAGACTCAGCCCCATGGAGGAAGCCCCAGGAGGAAAAAAGAATTCACACTTACACTGTCCATAAAGAGAACCCATGGTGGCAATGGGCCCAGAGTCAGAACTTGAGACAAGAAGGTAGGGGATGGGGAGCACTGGGTTCCACTCAAGCTCAGTCCTGAGAGAGGGAATGTGAAGTCTTAGGGCAGTGGTCGGCAAACTGGGCTCGCAAGATGACCCAGGACAGACTCAGCCCCATGGAGGAAGCCCCAGGAGGAAAAGAGAATTCACACTTACACTGTCCATAAAGAGAACCCATGGTGGCAATGGGCCCAGAGTCAGAACTTGAGACAAGAAGGTAGGGGATGGTGGGCACTGGGTCCCAATCAAGCTCAGTCCTGAGAGGGAATGTGAAGACTTAGGGGAAGGGGGACCAGTCGTAGCCCAGCTCCCCAGCTCCCCTAGCAACCCGCCTGCCCACTCCTAGAAAAGCACTCTGAAAATGTCCTGTAGCTCCAACTCTCCCACATGGCTTCACTGACTGAGCTCCCCACCAGACATTCTTCCTTAACAGCAGGCCACAGGCATTCTCCCAGTGAACTCCAAACCCTTGGAACTCCTCCCCTAGATCTCCCCACCCAACCCCTATCCAAGCACCACCTTCTGCAAGCCCAGGTGCTCAATAAACACTAGCCCAGTGCCCAACAGGGAATCTTCCACCAGGCCCACGCTGAGCTTCAGCCCTAGGATTATCTGCCAGCTATGCTTTCATTAGTCTTAACTAGGAGGGTAGGGCTTGAGCTTTTTACCTGTGAATCAACATCCTGTTTCTCTTCCATTTTGTAATTACTAGTGTCCCACTCCTCCAAACATCCCCTCTCCTCCTCCCTAATCCTCAGATTCCTCTCTCAGGGTTTAGTGACTCTTTGGGATATTCTTTTTTTTTGGGGGGGGGGGGCGGTAATTTTTGTTAATCCTCACCAGAGGATAAGTTTTACTTATTTTAGAGAGAGGAAGGGAGAGGGAGGGAGAGAAACATCTATCAGTTGACTCCTATACCAAGCCCAACTGGTATGTGCCCTGACCAGGAATCAAACCCGAGACCTTTCAGTGTACAGGACGACACTCCAACCAACTGAACCACGCCTGGCCAGGGCTCTAGGACATTCTTTTATCAAAACCAAGGAGAAAGAAACTAAGAGACCAAGGATCTTACACATTTTCTCATTTGAAGTAAAAAATCCCATTATTATGACTAATGTGAATTAGCATTACTCTTTCTGACAAACTCACATTATCTGTGACTAAAATTAACCCTTATTTACTATCAACTATTTTATGAGACAGAAACTGTAACTGCTACATTACCTTCATGTTATAAATTTCTGTTCTACATTTTAGCAAACAAATATGGCTAAGTGGATGACAACTGGAAAAGCAACAACATAGACATATTCTGATAGATTAATTACCCTCCCTCAGAGAACTATTACAGTAAAGCATGAATTTTTAAAGTAGTCTTGAAACAGTCAAATAAAGGGACGAATGGACTTAACTGTGCAAGCTATAGTTAACTGGCTCAGAATCAATTGTTTCAGTGTTGAATAGACAGCCATTGCCTCAAAACAACCCAAAGGACAAGAGCAATTTAAAATCTGACTCGATATACGAAACAGGAACGCTGGAGTAGAAATGCTGGTGAATGACCACTAAGACCCACTGTTTAAAAATAAAAACAAAACAGTAAAACATACACCCACACTATAAAAGGAAAATCATAGCTCACGAAAGCCTATTTCTATCCTGCAGATGACTGTCATTTTCTGGGAGGTCAGTTCTCTGAGAACTTGCTCAAATGAGCAAAGGAAGTATCTGAGGAGTGGGGGTGGGGTGGAAGGTGGGGAGGGAGAGGACCAGAGGGCTGGCATCTCAAACTCTGATTTTATCCATGAGTGCTGGTTTTGCAGTAACTCAAGAGTTCTGGTTTCCTGATCATAGGTCATGCCACCCTGAGGATGGTCTCTGGCATGCCTCTCAAACTTGAAGGATGTGAAGGTTTTTGGGAAGCCTTATGCCTGGCAAGTGCTGGGCTGGCAAGGAATGAAGCCAAGTGCTATTGCATAGGCCCAACCGAAAGACCCAGGAAAGTAAGAGGAAGGCTTGTGAATTCCCGAGGATGAATATAGGTAATAACTTTTTTCCAACAGCCTTTTCTGAGTTTCAATCCTATGCAGCTTGCACAGCTTCCGAGATACTCTGCCTCAGCCACACAGCCTTGTAAAGGTCATCAACAAGATAACTTACTTTCTATTCCTATCTGGAACAACAGTGTGAACATTATATTATACAAAAGACAAGCTGAAAACCAGCCTAGAAATTCCTATCCTTTTGCTAGGGCCCTGGGAGAACTAGGATAGTTAGAAGGCAGTCTGAGAAAGACTTCCTACCTGGCCCTTCCATGAATCCCTAACCCACCCCTTAAGATGAACAACGTTCCCTCTGAAATAGCACTCTATGGACATCACCTTCTCAGAATGCTAAATGGGGTGCGTGTTGTGGCTGGACACAATGAGGCACCAATTCTCTAAACGCAAGTCACTGGGAAGGGAAGACGAG